GAGTGTGCTTTTAACAACAAGGTTGCTGGTTCAACTTCCACATGGGATGGTGGGCTGCACCGCCCACCGCAACTAGATTGAAACAACTCTACTTGACTTGGAGCTGATGGGTCCTGGAAAAACACACTGTTCCCCAATAAAATTAAAAAACAAGCAAACAAAAAAACAGATGCTGTTGCTATAGGGGATGATTTATTGGGGATGATTTTGTCCACCCTCGGGGGATATTTGGCAATGTCTAGATACATTTCTGACCGTCACAACTGGAGAAGGAGTGTTACTGACATCCAGTGTATAGAGGTTAGGGATGCTGCTAATTATCCTACAATGCACTGGACAGTTCCCCCCAAGGAGTAATCCAGCCCCAGATATTCATCATGCTGAGGTTGAGAAACCCAATAGCAGGACCCAGACATTTAAACACGTGATGGCAGTACAGTATAATGAACATGTGAGAGAGGAAATACAGGGTGTGACCCCAGAAGGCTCCCTGGAGGAAGCGACACTCAAGCTAGATGTGAAGGATTAATAGGAATTAGGAAAGTGATGAGGAAGAAAGTTGTTCTTAGTAAGAGGAGTAGCAAGGCAAAGCTTTGGAGGGTAGAAAAATAGCCTGGCATTTTTAAGTAAGTAAACTTTCTTTCCTTTTTGAAGAAAAATGTCCCCAGGTTTATTGAGATATAATGGACAAGGAAAAAAACTTTCAGTATGGCTGGAATGGAGTACGAGGTGGGAAGCAGCACCAGACCATGAAGGGCCTCTGTAGGTCACATTTAGGAACTTATACATCACCCTGAGAAATAAGGAAAGTCACCGAAGGAATGAAACAGGGAGCAGCCTGATTAGATTTGCTTCTGAAGACCCTCCTCAGAAGGGCCTGGAGGCAAGGGGGCCAGTGAGGGGGCTGCTGCGGGTAAACCAGGTGAGAGAGAAGGCAGGATTGGACTAGAAGAAGGAAAGCGTGGATAGATTTGAGGGATGTCGGGAGAAGGAGTTGTTAATGGATGCGAGGGGTGAGGCAATAGGAAGAATCAAGGATGTCACCTAGGCTTCCAGCTTAGGTAACTAGGGAATGGAAGTGACATTCACAGAGCTGGGCTAAAGCCGGGAACAAGGTCACGGAAGCCAAGGGGCTCCCAGTGAGGGCATCAGTTAGAAAACAAGGGAGTCCACATGGAATGAGAGTTAGAGAGACTGTGCAGGGAGCTACAGGAGTGCACAGCAGGGGAGGGCCTACCTGGCTGGTGGGTAGTTGGGAAGGGCCTCTTGAGGAAGTGACATCCAGGCAGACCCCTGAGGGCTGCCCAGGAGTTGGGGGTTGGGGGGTGGGGGAAGAAGTGGAGCAGAGATGGTGACCTGAGTTGGCAGAGATCTGTCCTCCACGCTGGACAGGTCATTTCAAGAACCACACCCCTCTCTGTAAATATTCATACCAAGTTTAGCGCATCAGCTCTAACCAAAAGAGTGGGTGTGTCCCTGCCTGTTGCTCTTAGCAACCACCTTGCCACTCTCTACCAATTGTCTGGAATTTCTCCAGGCGTCAGGAAGTCTTTTCAGACAGATTTCCAAACAGGTTTGCAGAGATGGGCCCCTTTCTAATGTGCAAAAATGTCTAGCAGTGTTAAAGGACTCAAAGGGGACTTGTCCTGCCAAGGTTTTTCTCCTTCTAATCTCTTGACTCAAAGCTACTGGCAATAGAAAGTAGCTTCAATAGGTTGTTTCAAAATTTGGGGGAGTTCCCAAATTTTCCTTGCCTCCTGATTGGTGGGCTGAGAGAGTCCTCAACTCCCCTAAGAATGTGAGCGAGAAGCTGTCTTTCATGGGTCTGCGGTCTTGATCCCATTTTGTAATAAAAGCAGCATGTTCTCTTATTTCCAAAGATGGCCGCCGTCAGTTCCTTCTCACCCTGCATACACGAGCCACACCTCCATCCTAAGTCTATCCCCTTGAATCTGGGCTGGCCTGCAATTGCATGACCAAGCGAATATGCCAAAGCCATGCTGTGCCAGATCTAAGTCTAACCTTTAAGAGGACTGGCAGTTTCCACTGGCAGCTTCCACTTCCTTGTTCTCAAAACCCCAGCCCAAGAGAGAACCCGAGCTGCTGCATGGAGAGGCCCACATAGAGGAGAACCGAGGTGCCTGCCCCAACTCCCTGCCCGATGACAGTCCCAGCAGAGTTCCCAGCCCACATGCAGCACCAACTTGCAAGGCATGTGAGTGAGCCGTTTTGGAAGTGGATCCCCTAGGCCCAGTGAGCCACCCCAATTAATACTCTGGGAGTCAGAGACAAGCTGTTCTTTCTGACCCTTGGTCAAACTTCAAAATCATGAGCAAATAAATTGTTGTGTTTTTTTGTTTTTTTTTTAAAGATTTTATTGGGGAATTGGGGGAGGGGAACAGTGCTGGGGAATCAGGGGAAGGGGAATAGACAAGTTGCGGTCGTTTTGTTCTTCAGTCTAGTTGTGGAGGACGTTGCTTCACTGGCCCAAGTTGGCACCATCATTGCGCTCTTCCCGGGTGAGGCAGATCAGTCGCCGGCCTCTGGATGGCCGCTCACGGCGGCTGCTGGCCGCTCACGCTGGCTGCCGGCTATACATGGTAGCTTATGGCAACCCACTGCAGCAGGGGACTGCAGCCTACGCCGTCGCCGGCGACTCACAGCAGCCCAGCTCCAGGTTGAGCTGTTGTTCAGCATCTTAGCTGTAGAGGGCAGTGTCACTGGCCCTCATATGTGGGATCCGAACCCGGGCCCTCTGGCATCTCAAGCCAGCTCTTAACCAATGTGCCACTCGGCCGGCCCATAAATTGTTGTTTTAAGCCATTAAGTTTTGGAGTAGTTTGTTACACAGCAATAGCTCACGGAAAAAAGCAGCTACAGTTTTAGGGCACCTGCCATGCGTCAGGCACTGTGCTAAGAGTTTTTTATAGGCATTCACTTGTTAACTTCTCACATCAACCTCACAAGAGAAGGATCTCTAGCTGAGGAAGCCGTGGCTTGGGGAAATTAAATGGGCCCATGCCAGGGCACACAGCCAGCAAGAAGCTGGCTGATGCTAAAGACCTGGCACTTACCTGTGATGAATCCAGCTCCTGGCTGCAAACCTATGTGTGATCTTTCAGGCCCAGCCATAGGCCATCACCAAGCTTCTACATGGCAGACCTCACCGGGGACCTGGCCCTCCCTACCCCAGACTTGGGGCACAGCCAGGGCACTGCAGCCTCCGAAGGAAGTTGCAGTCAAGGAGGCAGGGCCTCTGACGGCCATTTGTGCTCTTATGCATAATTGATTTCCCAGCCCAGGTGCCTCCATGAGAGGCCTCTTTACTGGGGGCTGTCAACCGGAGCCTTCTCCAGCTGCCTTTGCCAAGATCTCCCTATCGGGAGGAGTAGGGAAACTGCTCTGACTCAGTACTCAGTACTTTTCCACTCCTAGCCCTCACCCCTCATCACCCCCAACACAGAAGTCCAGAAAACAGCAGGAGCATTTTCTTGGGGGTTCCCTCAGCAGTCAGATGACTCCCCAACTACAACACATCTGATCCTTGCCAGGCGCTGTCCCGTGGGACACTGGGGGAGCTGGCACTTTCTCCCCTTGCTCATATCATCACAGTAAGTGATTACAGGCTGGACTGTTACATTTTGGCTTGTCTTTTTTTTTTTTTTTTTAAGATTTTATTGGGGAATTGGGGGAGAGGAACAGCGTTGGGGAATCAGGAAAGGGGAACAGACAAGTTGCTGTCCTTTTGTTCTTCAGTCTAGTTGTGGAGGACGGTGCTTCACTGGCCCATGTTGGTATTATCATTGCACTCTTCCCAGATGAGGCAGTTGCTCGCCAGCCATTGGACGGCTGCTCACAGCGGCTCACGGTAGCTCATGAAAGCTCACGCCAGCTGCTGGCCAGCCCCACTGCAGCCTACGCTATCGCCGGCGACTCACGGCAGCCCAGCTCCAGGTCAAGCTGTTGTTCACCATCTTAGCTGTAGAGGATGCAGCGCCACTGGCCCTCATATGTGGGATCTGAACCGGGGCCCTGCTGCTCAGAGCTGATGTCCCAAGCCAACTCCTAACCAACGCTCCACTCGGCTGGCCCTGGCTTGTGTCTTAATGGACTACTTTGAAACGGGACAGCTCAGCTTCTGACAACTTGAGTAGTTAAGAGTTAAGAGCAGTATTTAAGAGCAGGGGTCACTGCAGGAATAAAGTAGCTATGTGACCTTAGGCAAATTGTTTAACCTCTCTGATCCTCAGTGTTCTCTTCTGAAAACTGAGAACAATATTAGTATCTAATTCATGGGGCTGTTGCAAGGACTCAATGAGATAATGCCTATAAGGGCTGGACAGAGCAGGGGCTGGATAATTATAGTTTTTTATTATTACTTAATATCGGAAAGAGTGATAACTATGTCCAGGAAGGTTGGGATCCCTCCAGAATGAAGGCTAATCTTAAATGAGAATCTCTGCTTGGAGAAACTCCTGAGAACCAGCCTTCCCTAAGGCATGGTCCCCATTCCAACTGAGTTTAACTCTTCTAGTCTCTGAGCCAAAGTTCTTAACCTTTGACCAGAATCACCCAGGGAGCCTGTTTACCATGCATATTCTTAGAGCTCTCTCTCAGGAGTCTCTTCCAGGTTTTGGGGAGGTGAAGGGTTGGGTATGTTTAGCAAACACCCCAGGTAATTCTCATACAGAATCTGAAACACTGCCCTCAACCAGGGATAGGCAGACTTTTTCTGTAACAAGCCAAAGAATAAATACTTTTGGCTTTGTGGGCCAGATGTCTCTGTTACCACTGCTTGACTCTGCCACTCTCTGCCATTGTAGCACAAAAACAGCCGAAGACATTAAGTAAATGAAGGGCTGTGGCTGTGTTCCAATAAAACTTTATTTACAAAGACAGGGGCCTGATTTGACCTACGGGTCATAGTGTGCCAGCCCCTGCTTTCTGCCAGCCCATCTCTCTTCTATATATATAACCAATAAAAGCACAGACATGGGTAGTAAAAAAGTGATATTTCTTTAATTTAAAATTGTGACCTGGAAAGAACCAGTCAGTTTAAGTATCCAGGAGTCCTCTTTGAACCCAATTGGAACAGACACAATATTGGCTCAGATTACCAACCCTAGAGAAAAACCGAACCAAATCGAGAATCCTCAGGAAGTCCCTGCAGCTACCCTACTGGGGCCATCAGGCTCCACTGCGGGAGGGTACCCGGGCTGCCAGGGGCTGCTGCTTTCTAGCCACACTGAGAATAGTTTTCCTCCCGCCACCCAGCTCCCTCACAGGCTTGAGTCCTCTCCATTGCTCTGCAGCTGGCCCTGCACATGTCCTCCACAGAGAGGTTGGTGGCATGGCAGTCACTTCCCAACCATCTTTGGGGCACCTTCCTGTGACTGCAACAGAGGAGCTGAGCAGTTCTGAACATATGTGCCCAGAAGGGCAGCACCTTCATCGTTTGGCTGAGATCTGGAGCCTTGAGTTGTAACCATCAGTCATGTGTGGTCAAGGCACCGGCACCAAGATGGCAAATGGCAGCAAGATGGCAAAGGTGGGAAACGACCTGGGAAGATGCAAGGGTCTCGGTAATCGATTCAATCGATTTCATTCTGAAAACAAAACAGACAAATGCCATCTGGGTAAACTCCCTACAAACAGGAGAAAGCATCAAGACGGACAGAGAACCACCACCTCCTTCAAGACTCCAGGTCTGCCTGCTCTTCCCCAGCACAGAAATCAAAGGTCCCTCTTCTTAGGTGAGTGATGCTCCCACCTCATACATTCAGGGCCAATCAGGCCTGCGGATTCATCTAGCCAGCCAGTGAGGGGTCTCGAAAGAACTCTAGGCTCTGAATAATGTGTGAATGGAGTCCAGGATGCTGAGTAGGGTTTTTTTTTTGCACTGAGTTTTGGAAGTGTGTAGTCAGTAGAGAGGAAAGGAGGAAGGGCATGGCCAGAGCGGCCCTTGGAGATCCTGGAGGCCTTCCCAGAAGGGGTTTATGGACAGAATAAATACAACTGGCTTGAAGCAGGTCTAAAAGAGCCAACAGGTCACTGCAGACTCACTGCAGTGGGGCAACAAGTTTCCGTTTGCTTTCTCTAAAATTTACAGCACCCAAAGCCTGATGTTTGACCTGAGTCAAAGATGTTGGGACAAACCACTAAAGGGCAGTCCGGGGATGCAGTAGGAGACCAGATGGTGGCCAAGGTGTCCCCACCACACACAGCATTCCTGAGCCTGGTGGGCCACATCCTGGGCATATTGCAGAGGCAGCTCAGGACACTAACAAGGGCCCCTGCTGTACACAGGGTGGAGTGGGTGCGGGAAGAACACGGCATTACATAAAGTCCCCTGAGAACTGAGGTGCAGTGAAGAGAAAGGGGTGGGGCTTCCTTCTCAGGCCCAGTCACTCTGCCTCCCAAGGGAGAAAGAAGATATTACTGTGCATTCCAGCACCACTGATATTATCTTACTCTAATGAATGGCACCTGAGGGTGGGGGCATTTCAGCACAGACCCCCGACTGTGTGACAGCTCCCCCCCCCCCCCCCCCCCCCCCCCGCTCAGTGAGACCCTTTCTTACAATTGTCCTAGAAGGAGTCTGGGTCACAAGCCCTGGCTCATGACAACACATGTCCCATCAGTAGCACCTGACCCCCAGCTAACCAGTCTTCAAGTCCTTAACAAGGCAGCTCAAGTGGTGGGGGTAAGAGAGTTTGGGTCCCAGGACCTCAAAAAATTCCTCTTCCCAGTCTCCTTTTCTCAGAAACAGTGGCCCCCCTAAATGTCTACTAAAGAGGGAGCTGTCCACGTGGCTGGCCCTAGCCAAAGGCCAGTCACTGGACCCACTTACAAGACCACCGCAGTGTCATCCAATCACAGCAGAAGGCTGGCTCGACCCCTACCCTCACTGGATGATGCTGTCTGGCTGCCCATTCTGGGCTACCTGTCCAGGGTCAGAGGTGGGGGCAGGGTTAGGCATGTTGCTCTGCAGGTAGCGGCGGAAATCTTTGATCATGGGCCGGAGGACCTGGATGAGGACGCTCAGGGCTGCCTGGGTGCCCTCCATGGCCTGAGCCTGGCGCTCCTGGGCACAGGCCTGCACCTCCTGGGAGCGGCGGATCATTTGCAGCAGGTCGTTCTGCTGCTCCAGGTGCTGGGCAATCTCCTTCACATGCAGATTGGTGACCCGCTGCTCCTGGATCAGCTTGGCCGAGTTGAGAGCGATTCGACTCTTGAGCGCCTGTGGCTTTACTGAGGGGTCAGCGTGCTGGGCCATCATCTCCACGGGGGCCTCGGCTGCCAGGGGCGGGGGGCCCTCAGCTGTGCAGTACTCGACCACTCCTTCCTCAAGTGTGTGATAGGTGGTTTCTGTGGGGACTGTGGAAAGAAAGAGCAAAGACAGCATCAGGTCACTTTCTAGGAAGAGTGAAGCTAGCCACGTGGAGTGGGGAGGAAGCCATTTAGCCTTATTCTGGGGAATTCAGGCCTCCTCTGGCTTTATAGTTTATTCATGCAACTAAATCTAGACTCTAAGGGGTTTAGAATCTTAATCTACTTCGTAACCAAAGGGTCAGTCACGGATCTGGCAAAAGCAAAGATATCAATAATAATACTAGCAAAAAATTTAGAGCACCTACTATGTGCCATGCACTGTGCTAAGTAAGCCCTTTGTACTCATTTGTTAGACGAATCCTCATGATGAAACCAAAAGGTAGGTCCTGTCATGTTCATTTGCAGAAATGAGGAGATAGACTCAGAAACATGGAGTGACTTGCTTAAGGTCACACAGCTTATTCAGCAGGTCCAGGAAATAAACCCAGGTCTCCCCAACACCAGAGTCCATTGTGATCAATACCACCCCACTGGGCTGCTTCTGGCTAATAAAAGCAGGGCCACATGCTCCCCATAGTGCCAAAACACAGCAGGCGTCTTGGGTGGGACTCTGCATGAGCTGTTTGTAGCCACTGTTCCTACCTCCCTCAGTGCTTTCTTGACTTCTTTGGCAAAGCAGAAAAGGAGGTGGGAGTGGGGCAGCAGCAGCTAAAGTGACCAATAAATGCCTCCCTGTCTCTTTGATCATCCTGGTCAATGGGATACTTAAAGGTCCTTCCTGTTCCAGAACAGCAATTGATTGAGGCCAGTGTTCAGTCCCCTTTCTTACCTCAATATCCTTGAGAAATATGCCACTGTGGGGGATGTCATTCACACATATACCCAATTCCCCAAAGCCCCACTGAGAATCACTGATTGGTATAGTTCATAACCCATCACAAAGGAGCAGTTAACAGTCACTGATGCAAACCTCATCTGAACTAAAAAGTCCAACCCAAGCTAATAGTTCTGTCGTTATTCACAGCTGAGAACATTTGAAGGGATGCTAGGTGGGTTGTTTGAGCCTCCATGCATAGTGGAAAGGTCACCACCCTTCAATGCCAACATCAACTATGTGTCCCCACCCCGATCAGGAAGACTCCTTTCTTTTCTGAGTCCTTAGGTTCTCCCAACTAACAAGGCAATTATTCACATATGTGTCTTATCTGTCCTATGAGAATATAACCGGCCCCTGTCTTAGACACCTTGGTAATCCCAGTGCAAAGCACAGGATTTGGCACAGAATAAGTGCTAACGTTTGGTGAGTAAATGAGTGAGTAGATTAATACCAGAAACCATGAGGTTCCTCAGCTGTGCCTGATCAATGTTCACCACACTGAAAATCCAGAATGTCTCTGTCCAGAGTCTGATTTGAGCAATATCATCCCCATCTGTCTACTCATTCAACAAATACATCCTGACTGCTACTGTGTGCCAGGCCCTGTGATAAGTCCAGTGGGGATACAAACATGGTCTCTGTCAAGGACCACCGAGTTCAGTCATGGACACAAATGGTGACAAAACACTGTTGAGAGCAATCCAGCTCATCAGAAGTCCAGACTGCATGCTGAGGAACTCCCAAAGAGAACAAGATCACTTCTGTCTGGGGAGCTCTTGGAAGGCCTCATGGTCTTCTAAGACTCCCATCTGACCTTTGACCCTTTGCAATCAAGCTTCCCAGGGCTGCCCAAGCTCTTGCTGGCCCTTCCCATTTATGCACGCTGGACTCGGCAGGAGAGGTCACTCACTCTGTGTCAGGGTAACTGTGGCTGCAGTTGCAGTGGCTGTGGGTCCGAGGGCCACCGGGTGGATCTCTGTGGTACTGGGCAGGCTGATGATGGTGGCCTCGCCCAGCAGGTTGCAGATGCGCTGTTGCATGGGGGTGAGCAGTACGGGGGCTACAGCTGTGCCACCGCCACCACTGTTACCACCTGACCCTGGCCCACCAGCTCCATCTTCCTCAGTGGGCCCTGGGGCCTCGCCACCCTCCACAGCTGCCCGGACTTGGGCAACCTTGCGACGGACCTCGGTCTTGAGGTCGGACCACTTCTTCTTGACCTCAGGCAGCTCCCTGCGGCAGGTGGCCACAGCGTTTACCCTTCTCAAGATGCCATGCCAGGCCGCGCTCTTGGCAGCTAAAGGGACTCCGGCATTGAAGTGGTTCACCAGCAGGTGCTTCTTCAGTTCCAGCTCCTCCACGATGATCTCCACCTCTCGCTCAGAGAAGTTCATCTTCCTCTTCTTGGCTGGGACAGCCATGGCTTCTCCTTACCCCTCTTTTTAAAGAAATTATAATTCCCTCAACCGCCCCAATTCCCCTTCTCTACTTCCTCAGCCTCAAGCCTCATCCACCCCCCTACAGGGGTTAGGCCGGGCTTGCCAATGGCCAAGCACCAGGCCTTTGGTAACCCTCCTCGCTACGCAAAGTGCGTAGGGCCAAGCGCCGACCGGCCCAGCCGCTGCCAGCCAGCTGCGTAATGGCTTCCTGAATCTGCCTCTTCCGCCGGGGTGTGCGGAGATCCGCCCACTTCCCCTCTTCCCGCCTCCCAGCGCTTCTCCAGGGGAACCACCCCTCCCGATTAGTCGCGGCTTAATATCACGTCGTTCACTGGTTTTTTGATCTGTCGCTCAGCTACAGAGCCCGTCCACTTATTGAATTGGCCTGACCATTGGTCTGAAGGTGTGTCTGTCGCTACAGAGCTCTCCGCCCACTGAGCCTTTTATTCACTTCCATTGGAAAATCGTCCTGTCGTTCAAGCATCAGTATTATTTAACAGCATAAGCTATTAAATTCAGCTATGTTATTGGTGATTTTAGGGAATTAGATGATCAAAACCTGTCCTCCGGAGTATCCCTAGTGCTGTCGGCTGTGAGCCATTGGCCAATTAATTTTTAATTCCATGCACGGGCGCAAACTCTGGTTTGCAGCCGCAGCTTACAATTACTCTTCACAGAAATCCTGTTTCCCATCGGAGACTACGATCTCTTCGTACACGACCGCTCCTCCGATCTTTTCGATTGTGAAGTCCAAATAGTTTCTCCATGGAAATTGGACACGGGGCCTTACGCCTGCCAATCACATGACTTATGCCTATAGGGACGTGAATTCCTCGCTTGTTCCCGACTCAGCCAATCCCCGCCTCCCTCAGTTTGAATCGGCCCCAGGCTGAGCCGGAATCGCCCCGCCCTCTCTATTGATCCGGGTAGTCCTGGACGGTGTGGGCAGTCCTCCGGGAGGCTCCGCCTCTCGGCAGTCCGGGTCTGTGACTGGCCAGAGATGCGCCTGGGGGCGTGGTTAGAGAGGAAACAAGCGGCGGGGCGGGGCTCCCGGAAGCGACCCCGCCCGCCAGTTTGCCGGCTTCTCGGATCCCGCGCTCGCAGTCTGAGGACGCCGGCTTGTCTTCCGCGTTCTCTTCGCCGCCCGGTGCCCCTGCCTCGCGCCCGATGGTGAGCAGTGTGTTGTGCCGCTGCGTGGCTTCCCCGCCGCCGGACTCCGCCGCCGCCGCCTCGTCGTCCGCCTCGTCGCCAGCGTCTGTGGACCCGTGCGGCGGCGCAGTTTGCGGGGGCCCGGACCACCGGCTGCGTCTGTGGAGCCTCTTCCAGACGCTCGACGTCAACCGCGACGGCGGCTTGTGTGTCAACGACCTGGCCGTGGGGCTGCGACGCCTAGGACTGCACCGCACCGAGGGCGAACTCCGGGTAGGAGGCGCGCACCGTCCGCGCGGGCGGCGTGGGGGCCCCTTCGCGTCCCAGCACCTCTGGGAAGTCCAGGTGACAGGTCTGGGCCTCTGAGTGACAGACCTGAACGGCCCGGCCTCTTGGGCAGACCCTTGGAGCGTGGTACGTCTACTGGACGGCCTCTTGGGCTGGGTGGGACCCCCGATTGACAGATGGACACACCATTTATTCTCTGGTGGGAGTGGAGCTCTTTCCTGACCTCTGTGGGCGTTTGGTCCAGGGGTAAAGGCTCTTCGTGCACAGGTGGGCACCCTCTGAGCTTTCTGATGGTCGAAAGCCCCTTCTTGCCCCGGTTTTCCCCAAAGTAGGCCAAGTCTCAGAAGTCCGCCTTTGGTCACCTCTTGACCTCAAGGCTAACCTTGATGCACGCCCCTACCCACGATTGACGGGTCCACCCATTCTCCAGCGCCCCCCCCCTTCTCTCCTTTCCATGCCAGCCCCGATCTGGTTCCTCAGAATCACGGGGGAGTTGGAAAAAATGGAAACTGGGGTTTCAGGCAGATCTGCTATGGTGTGGGTGGTGAGGACTGACAGTTCACGCGGTTTAGGCTCATCCCCATTGACATGCTTATCCAGAAGGTGGGACTGTGAACTCTTACAGGGTTGCAGATCATGAAAGAATCTGAGGGAAAATACTTTCCAAAAGTGCAAGTGTTGTACACCTAGGAGGGATATGGATACTCTTGTTCAACAGTGGGCTTTTGGCCGAGGGGACAGAAAAGAGATGGAAAAGGGGGGCCATCTCTGGGCCTGCCAGAAAGGGAAGTGCTGTCCTTTTTTTTTTTTTTTTTTAAATAAGAACCTCAAGCAGAGGCAGTTTCTTCCCCTTCTGTCTCTCATGGTGTGTTTTTCCATCTGACTTTGTAGCTGTAGCTACCCTTTCCCGAGTATTTCACTTATTTGTGGCCTGATTTACAACCTGAAGGAGTACTAAGTACTTTACCTAGTAACCTGTTTCTCTTTTAAGTTAGTTCATTTGGTCCATTTGTACATAAAACAATTAGAGACTCTCCTAGCCAACTATGAAAAAATCTGGTAAAATGCCAGAGCGTGAAACCAATTTGTTGGTGGGTTGGGTGTACAGAAGGTGTTTTTAACTCATGTCCAAGATATCGTGGATCAACATCCAAGGTATTTAACCTACTTAGGATCTGCCTAGGAAGAAGACCAAGGGTAACACTATGCAAGATGCAGTCGTTGGGTTAAGTCCAAGAGGTTTAGAAATAAGTTAAAAAAAAATTTTTAAGTTTTACACAAAATGACCGTTGTGAGCTTGATAGTTTCCCGTATAGATCTGATAAGTCACTTGGAAAGATAGTATGGCTAAACTCAGAGGGTCTATGCCTTATGGGCTCAGGGAGGCGTGGGCCCAGGTTGACCTTTCTGCTTCTGTGAACCTACCCACTTGGCCTATGCTGCCAGACATATCGAGGGCATCTGATTGCTGGGGTGTATTCAGTGTTTACACTATGCTTTGTGCCTCAACTAGAGTCACAGTGTTCTTGCAGTTCACAGCACATCTGATATTGATCCTAATCCACTTTTTTGGCAGCAAATTTCTAAGGGCAAATAAGGAGAAACTAATTGTTTTTCTTTCCAGTGTTGAAAGAAACCTTTTTTTTTTTAAAAAAAGATTTTATTGGGGAATTGAAGGAGGGAACAGCATTGGGGAATCGGGGAAGGGGAACAGACAAGTAGCTGTCCTTTTGTTCTTCAGTCTAGTTGTGGGGAATGGCGCTTCATTGGCCCTTATTGGCATCATCATTGCGCTTGTCCTGGGTGAGGCAGTCGCTCGATGGCCATTGGATGGCCGCTCATGGCGGCTCAGGGCAGCTCACAAAGCTCACATAGGCTCCCGGCCAGCCCCACTGCAGCCTGTGCCGTCACTGGTGACTCACGGCAGCCCAGCTCCAGGTCGAGCTTCACCATGTTAGCTGTAGAGGGCGCAGCATCACTGGCCCTCATGTGGGATCCGAACCGGGGCCTTGCTGCTCAGAGCTGGCGTCCCAAGCCAACTCTTAACCAGCGCGCCCTTGGCTGGCTCTGAAAGAAACCTTTTTGATTAACCAAAGGGAGGCTAGCTAGCCCCTTGGGGTCACATTGGCTCTAAAATCTTCGACTCTGTGACTGATCTAAGTTCTATAATATGAAACAGTTCTTTTTTATTCTTTTGGTGTGTTGATTTAGTATGGACTCTGACTATTTCTACAACTCTTTCAGCTTTTGACTAAGTTAAAGTATACAGCTTTGAGACTGGGAATGATCTATTTAATTCATTTGTTAGGGGTGTACATGTTAGTCCTGTGGCGAATGGGTTAATTATTGAGAGAGACAATCTGCCTTTTTGTAAATAACTGGGCAGCAGGAAGACACTCTGCCTCATGAACCCCCATACCACTTCCTGTTGAAATAGTATCAATATTAGCCACATACAGAAAAAGCAGCCCTGCAGTTTTGCAGAACTAACAAAGCCAAAAGAATTTGAGGCCCCTTGGGTTGGAAATGGGCTCTCTGTCCTGGGAATAGCTGTTGAAAAACACATCATCAAACTTTGACAGCTGCTTCATATGACCTTTAGGACCAGTCTGAGATGGTAGGGCTTGCTCAGGAATGAGCTCTGAGTGCTGATCAGTGGGCGATGGGTGAACCCAGTCCATGTGACTGTACAAAGCCTCTTGCTAGCTTACAACAGGTTGGATCAAGTTTTCCTTAGAAACGAACCTGCAATTTTTGGCAGCCCCCCTTTTTTTTTTCTCTGAAGAAATTGGGACAGTCAAGGAAAGATGACTTAAAATGGAAATGGGCAGTGAAACTGATGGCAGCCAACCAGGAAAATTTTCTTCGTAAAGGACTTGTGATCAAGAAGCAGGTCCTGGGACAAAAGAAGGGAAGGGTTTGTTAAAGAAAAAAAAAAATGACGACAGAGGTAGTGACTCTGGGAAATGAGGCTTCAGCTGGTGCTAATTATAGCATTGCCTATTTAAGGCATTTTCATGTGACCAAACAAAATCTTTGTCTTAAAACAAATTTAAAACATAGGTTGGGAATCAGGCAGCCAATTAGAGGAAGAACGCAAGCTGGGTTATATATAAACAGTGTCCCTTTAGCTGAGGCTTGTGAGGCTCTCCGAAGGGGCTGGTATTTCATGCGGGTGAGGATTCTAGAAGATGGTGTGGTTTGCTGATTTAGAGGCTTGCATATGCACCAGCTAGTTTAAGCCTCACAATAACTTTGTGTAGTTGGTAAGACAGTGCTTTCACCCCATTTTACAAAGGAAGGAACAGAGGTTCAAAAACGACCTCAAAACTCATGTGACCACTAAGGAATTAGACCAGAGAAAGAACGGAAACCATCTCCTGACTCCTTCACTCCTCTTTAACTCTACCAGTTGTTTCCGAGGAACATGAAGCGAGTTCCAACTTGGGCTTTTGGGGGAATTTGAGAAAGATCCATTTAGAACCACATCTCTCATTCCCAAAATAGGTTTCAAGATTATCCAGAGATTATTCTGGCAAAGAATGAGAATCCTCCCTGCCCTAATTCTCTCCTTGACCTGAGCAGTGTACGTGAGGCAATCTCTGTTGACTTGAAATAATTGCATGCAAGATCGATAAGGCCAAGTTGGTATTGCTTAATCAGACAGTACTGTTAAACTCTATATCTTTTACATGTGTGGCCATTTGGGGGGAAGGTGTTTATGTAAATAACTGGACTTAAATAAGACAGCCTATAGGGAAAAAAGAGCCTT